TGTCGCCATGGCAACAGGAGCAGCACAGCAAGATCATCAGACGACCGCAACGGACTCTGCGCGCTACATGGTGGACATGAAGCTCCTCACGTACCCGAAGCCAGCGTCGGACCAGCGCGCCGCCGCCGCCGAGGCGCTGGTCTGACCCACCTGCAGCGCGGCCAGCAGCTGGGTGCACTGGGCCGGCGCCAGCGACCTGACGGCCATGCGGAAGAGCCCGGGCGCGTACTGCGTCAGCACAATGCCGCCGCAGAAGGAGTCGAAGAAGAACTGCACCAGCAGCAGGAGGCACGGCTTGGCCACGTCCCAGTCGGTGAAGATGAGCCGGGCCTGGCCGCGGAGCGAGGTGTTCGCGTGCGATTGGCAGAAGGGGACGGCTTTGGACGCGAATTACATCGATGTATGTGTGGGTGAAGACCACCGGGCTATGTAGTATGGACAACTATTGAAACGTCTGGGGTTACGGGTGGCTTTGAGCCAAACATATGTTTACTGTCTGGCCCCAAGCTCGTTGCGGCTGCTTGGCAGTAAAATTCTGGTGGGTGATCTTGCTGTGGTGTTTCGGCAATAGAGGATTGAAAATACCTGCGTGATGCCACATTTACCAGGTGACAACAGTATTTCTATCACCAGGTATCTACATCTGGTCACTCGCAAGTTACCTTTTAAACGTTTCTGCAACTGCCAGGGATCGAACTCCGGATACTTTAACGCAAAGCCCAGCACCTTGTCATCCTCATGGAAGACAATGTGGTGGCTCAATGAATTCAGATGTTTCTTTCGATTTTTTTTCGGCAGCAATTCTCGGTTCGATTCAGATGCACCGAACCTCGTCTCGCTCAGAAGGTTTTTTGTTCTCAGCAAAGGAACTGTTTTCGCCTTTTTCGCGAAAAAGTTCGCTTAAAGGAAATATTGTATAGTTGAAGATATTGCAGCGAGCATCATGCGTGGGATAAGCTCACTCGTAACGATTTGCTTACTTTTAAGTAGAAAAGACTCCTCAAGACAGTGCAATTTCTCTGTTCAGTAGATATCCTCTTCAATACGTCATTGTTTGATTACGCCAGCGTACCTTGCGCAAGACCGATTGAAAGCCAGTTGACAACCGTTATATCTGGAAATTGTGCTCACGAATGCCAGATGTGAAATACTTGACAAGGCTGTCTTTATTGGCTGTGATCGCCGCATGGCTGACTGAATTGCAGAATTTAAGTGATGTCTTTTGTCGTCATGGCTGACCTTGAAATAATCTCCCCGAAAAAGTATCCACATCTTCGCGGGCTGGTAGCTCAGAAACGGGCGAGTTATGGGCTTTGAGAATGCCAGCGCCGTGAACCGCATCGAATGATCTTCAAGATTGCTATTCCAGTTAAAAAACCCGCACCAATGGGGGACACTCCCTTTTAGATGCATGCTGGACCACCATGGTGTTATGTTGACTACTTGTTATGTTGAACTTTGAGCAGGCTTAAAGACACCTAGCTTTGCGGACCATGTGCGGATATCCAAGACATCAGCTCACACGCCTGCGGGGCGCATCTACGAATGACGTTTTTCTCTTTGTGGCCCGTGTGGCGTGCGTCCAGTGCCGGACACAGCCTCGGACGCGAGGCGCCTTCCTGTACCTGCTGGAGTATGTTTGGAGTCGGCCGGCCCCGCAGCACCTGCAGGATGTGTTTGGTTTCCATGGCGACGTCAGCCCGCTTGCCGCGGTAAAAGGCGATCGCTCGCTGCGCCTCCTTCTCGCGGCCCCCGCGGCTCAGCAGCCACCTGGTGGTGAAGGCTGTAAGTGAGAAGTGCACGCGGTGTGCAGCGATGGAACCCGTCCATTACAGGGTGCAGTGCTAGCCGAGTGGTGCCAGTACAGGTGCATTTCCGGTGTGATGTGAATGTATAAGTGCGCTGCTCTAAAAGAGATGGCCAAGTGTGAAGACCAGTGCAGACAGCTGGCCTTGTATTATGACATTCTGACCCTTTTCCCGCTGGGTTTCTGTGGTAAGACGACCCTTGCTAGTTGAGCTGGAGCGAATATGGCGAGGAACACTCCCCGTTCATGTGTGAATGCAGGCGTGTTAGCGAAATCCAGGTTGTGTAGCTCGAGTTGATTCAAAGTTATTTATTATACTGGTTGTGACATGCAAAAAGCGCCTACACTTCTTAGTGTGGAGTGACTGGGAGCAAGGGATGATATCGGAAGACGCAAACTTTGTTACGGTTCGCAAGGTGTTTCCATGCACTACATATAGGGCCACGCGTCGGCGCTACGACGGAACCACCCATCTTTTCATGACGCAGAATCTTCGAGATTTTAGGGAACCGTTCTATCAATGGCATTACCTAGGCGAATTTGGCAGCAGAAGCGCACCGAGAAAGTGCACAACAGATGGCGTGCAGCCGCAGAGTAGTGTGGCATATCGCCACGGGATGGCAGCACTGACGGAAAAGTTGACCAACAGGCTGAGTCCAATGGCCACTCCGGGCAAATAGCAGAGCGTTCCGCGTGTGCGGTTTGACGTCACCTGAAACACAGCCAGAGGGGAGCGTTGCTGGGTCCATTCTTAGAGGAACGTCTCTCCTTTTGTGATTTACGTGCCGTATGATCGGCTAGTTTTGATGGATCGCCTAGTTAACTCCCTCTATCCGAAAGAATCGGTTGAGTCCCAGGAATGGCATGAAATCGCGGGCATGCATGTCAGATTTCTTTTTCGAAACTTAAAATGCCGCATGGATTCCATACCGGTGATACCCCGGCCACTTGTTCATAATGCGTATCGCAAGCGTGATATTTCCATGTAGCGTGATATTGCCATTTCCATTTCCATGTATATCTTTGTACTTCTACGTACGTATGTATATACATCTTTGTTTCATCTCGACTTGCATCCTGAGCCCGTTTTTGCCACGAAAACTTTGAAAACGCCTAGCACATTCTAGTGACCAAAGTCCGTGCACCCCAGCTTAAAACTCAAGACCTCTCGGACGGGAGTCCATCTCCCCCCCCCCCCACCAACGGCCACGCTGGTGCGGCTCCCCCCCCCCTACCTCAGCGATATACAGTCGCCCTCCAGACGCGTTGAGCCCGACGAAGGCGCCCGCCATCACGGCGCCGGCCACCATCATGCTCCGCCCCCCGAGCGTCATCATCGGCCAGGCCAGCAGGTTCAGCGGCACGCTCAGCTGGATCACGCGCAGCACGCCGAGCCGGTCCGTCAGCGGGGCGGAGGCGACGCAGCCTGTCGGACCGGCGGGGAGGGGGAGGGGGTCAGTCACGGCGTGAAGCGCGCGGCGGTGCCGCGGGTGTGGTGACGCACGGCACGGGCGTCCGACTTCGGGGCATGGGGTATAATCGCGGGACGAAGGTCGTGTTGTGGGTTTGTGTGTCAGGATGGCAGTGGTGGTACGCGGTCAACTAGTGACGGGTTATGGACCATGAGGTACATGCCATAGCTGCCGGGGTGTGCGTTATGAGACACGGCGTACGTGTGTCAAGCTACGGGTCATGACATGCAGGTGAAGGGTCAGGGTTCGAGTTATGTGATACAGGTGGCTCGTTGCCAGCGCGCGACGACCAGTCACGGCTCAGGATGCAAAGGTCACTGGCCACAGGCTAGATGGTCGGGTGGTCACGACATGACGACGGCTGTAGGTCAACGGGCCACGGATTGCACGCACTATGTTTTGGATTGCAGGTCAAAGGCCACGAGTCCTATGGCATGAGTCACAAGACACAGAGCACGGAAGTCAGCCATACGTTACTGATATCAGGCACTGGTCGGCATACACGTGCGGCAAACACAGTAAGGCGACAGCTATTTGTTTAGACGTGGTAACCATACTGGTGGCCTTACAGCTCAGACGTTGAGATAGTGGGCTCATGTGGCATCTGGCATGTGGGCTCGCTATCCCATGAGGAACGCTTATGTAACTCATTTTGTAACTCTATTTACTAACAAATTCTAAGCTATGGGTTAACTCCCTTATACTATTTAACTCGATTCGACGGTCACGTAGAGCTAGCCAAATAGCCCGGGGCGGAACGGGTGGCCCTTGCCGTAGCATTGCGGTGGTATGTTAATATTCCGTTATGCTTGACATGTTAAGAGATGGTAGATGTTCCGAAAAAGATAGTTTCTTGAATTCAAATATGTTTACTGGGGTGTTGGGATCAGATGCTTTTACAACAGGCTATGCTTAGAAAGGGCTCTGATCTCAATCGTGTGTGCAAGGCATTTGGTTGAATGGCCTTTAAAAAGACTGTAATTAGTCATTCCAGCCTGACTTTGATGCAAACATTGTTTGTCCTACGTATAAAATCCGCCGGTAAACGGTCTTTAAAACTGAATGAACGTATTGACTTCGAATATAGTTTGACTCAGATCTGGACAGCGCTACCTGCCTGTTGATCTGAGTCGTTGTCCAGGGTCATTTTGCGTGCTAGTTGTCTCTTTATTGCAGAGGGAGTTGGCTTGTTTCATAGACAAACACGCAATCTGAAGTTCGATGGTCTGCTACGGAGTTCGTCAGGGGAGACAATCAGAGTTGGGGAGTGTCCGTAATGATGACGCCTCCTGTTCCTAGATATTTACATAGCTGTGAAGTGTGTTATGGCTATACCTGATCACTGTTACTGATATGACCTATCATGCGAATGCCGGAGGAAATACCCCGTGCCAGAGGACCTCCTGATATAGTCCCCTGATTAATGAAAGCCCTATTAAACCATTTTGCACAACGCTGACGCTTACGCAGCACCGTTTGGGAAGGAACATTGCTTAGCCGTTATTTCCGCGTTTGTCTGATTTCACTGACGGTTGCGGTACTGGAGACAGTCGTCACATGGCAGAAAACGGGACATTTTTGGTTCCAAAAGCAACTTAGTTTGGGATATAAACAACGTTCTAACATTTCAGTACAGGCTACGTTACGTCGCGTTTAAAGCTTACGATGTACGTTTTGTTAGTGCTGGCTGCGTAAGTGGCTGTTTGCACTCACCCAGCATGCGACCTAGGTGTGCGATAGAGGCCACCAGGGTGGCCGTCTGCAGGCTGAGGGTCCCGGCTGAGTCCCCCGACTGGGCCTCGGCGATCAGGAGGCCGCCAAAGCTGACCCACACGCCGAACACGACGTGCGTCTGCGACATCACCACCGCCGCAGCCACCTGCCAAGATGTACTGACGTCACCACTGCCCCAGTCGCCCGTCGAGATGTATTGGCATCACCACCAACCCAGCCAACGGCTGGTTACACCGCGTTACCACTGCAACCGTATTACCACTGTACTGATTTACCACTGCACTAACGTCCCCACCGTACTAGCACCACCACTGTGCTGACTGTCCCACACCAGCCATGTGTCTTGTGTCATCACCGGACTGATATTACCACTGTAGTGACTGATATTACCACTGTAGTGACTGATATTACCACTGACTGATATTACCACTGACTGATATTACCACTGTAGTGACTGATGTTACCACTGACTGATATTACCACTGACTGATATTACCACTGCAGTGGCATTATCGTCACGCCAGCCACTTGCCGGCTGTCCCCATCTTACTGAGACCACTACTCTACCAACATACCATTGCATTGTCATCATCACCCCGCCAGCCATGTGTCGCCTGACACCGTGTCACCGACAAGGGTGGCAACATCGTGGGAGATGTGGAGGACGTGTCCCACATAACTTCCAAAACGTGGGGTCTGTCCCCTTAACATAAGACACAAAATTTTCGGACGCATGCGCATGGTCAGGCGAAACGAGTTGCAAAAAAAGATGGACGCTGAAGGCATGCCACGACCCTTACAACGCCGTGGACGCAGCAAACGAAATACGCCGCACATGATTTCTCTCCCTCCTATCTGCAGAACGCTTGAACATGCGTCGCTACTTCGATTGCCGAGAGCCTTTCACACGTTTCTCGGCGCCTGGTCCGCGAGAAAAGAACTCTGTATTTCTCTGATAGGGGCATATCCCCCTCAGCCTTCAGCTTTCCCTTTAGCTGCCTTTTTCGGGCGCACCGCAGACAGGTAAAAATATAATGAATTTCTCCCTATAGATGACGAGATAAGTCAGCAGGCAATGATCTCAAAAATAGATCCACAAATATATCTAAGAAATAAAAAAAAACATTGGTACTATTGAAAGTGTCCATTTTGGCCGGCGGGTCTCGGGAACTGGGACCTGGATATTGATCTCTGGCCATAACAAGCCACTGATCTGAAATCAGCGATGCTCAAACCTTTTCGGCACTCCATCCCAACTTTCCAAATTTGCGTACCGACCGGACTCCGCCACTTGAAGTCTAGGAACGGGTGCAATAACGCGATATTAACTACAATGTTGCATTAAGATCCTGCCTTTTGTAATCATGACACGCCCTTTTGTCGAAGTACTGACCCGTGGTCCGCTTCGCCTTTGAGTCCACGCAAATCCCCCTGCTGCTCCAACCGTCTTGGATACAAAATGTCGATGTTCTGCCTGTTGGTTTTGTGTTCCTTACCCACGTCACACGGAGCTTGCCTGCGTTGTCCCTGATCTCATTTCTCAAAAGAGGGCGGTTGAGTTCTTTGTCTTTGTCCTGTGACCTCGCCAGACAGGACTGCCGACGGTTTCACCCGTCGCACAATACTTCGACACAGCTGCACGGGGCGGGATGATCCGGGTGGCCAATGGCCAGGAGACCGGTATTCGGTAGCCCAGCAGAATGGTGCGCCTGTCTCGAGGCCCTATACCCAGCGCCGTCGCATTGCGAACCAGGCGCTCGTCCATTAGACCGCGAGACCGCGAGACACGCGGGCTTTGCGCGCGTGATATTGCTTGTGCTATGCCACTGTTCTTGCGCCCGTGTTCTAATTGCATGTGCAGACTAAACAAGTCTTTCCCGAGCCTTTTGTATATCCAGGCAATGTAGGTACTGTGCATCAGCTGAAAATTTAATAACTTAAGCCAGGCAGATTCCTGCTCGTTTCCTATGCCATTCTATTGAATCTGGAACCACCGGTGTGCTGACGTCTATAGCCAACAATCATTTCGTGGGCCGCGCTAGGAACTGTTGATGTAGGACCTGTCTCTAGGCAGCGACGGGAATCCTTTATTCATCAATGTTGAAATCACGATCCAGCCGTCTTGTTTTTGTTTTATTTCGTTTTTTGTTGTTCTTTGGTGATCAGTTATTCCTCAAGCCTCTCTTAAACTGTATTTTTCCTACGCCGTCGGGGGGCCAGAATTCATAACGGATCGTGCTCAAGTACAAAAACAAAGTTCAAATTTGTCTCGTCTCGAAACCGCTGTTATACCTTTGATTTAGTCGTTAGCATGTGCAAAAAAAGGTTTCACTGAAGTTATTTGTTACGCCCGTCTGTGCGTTGTCTTCTGGCGCTTATGTCGCCCATTATACTTAACTGCCCCAATAAAACAACGCGTCCTCCGTCCTGTACGATTCTCAGAAAACTGCATGTTATTGTAGAGTGTTCGAAACCGGGATCATGTAGCTTTAGATTGAATAGCAACAAATTTGAGCAAATCTAGTATGTACCTAGATATCTTACTGGATCACGTGAACGGCTCCAGCTGTGTAACTTTTGTTTTTGTTTTGGGCTTGTTTAACTTTTGGAGTCGATTGAATGCTCTTTTTCCACTTGCTTCCTATCGCAGCCGGATGGTCGCTGATCCACGTAAAAGTGTGTTCGCCGTGTATAGCAGTGCACATGCCAAGGTCAAATCTCCCACCGGTATAAACAGCTCCGTCTAATCGCGTCGCCAGTTAAAGATCATATCAGCAGAGGGGACAAACGAAGCAACAAACCTTATATACTCAGGGCCAACGTGCGCGACGACGTTTGGGAAGCTCATCTGAAAAGTTATGGAGCGCAGCTCCGACGCCAGACAACCCATGGCTAACCCCTTCCTTGCAGCCAGAGCTACGTGCCACCGCTCATGGTCACCGGTAATCTGATATTTCCATTATTCTGACGTCACTGTGGCGTTGGCGAGCTGGCGCGACACACCGACAACCAGTGGTGCACGTTCCCCAAAAGAAGTTTGTTGGGGGGACTGAGCAGGAAAACGACGCACCTACCCCGAAAATGCACCACCAACCTGGTTTGTCCTGGATTTAGTCCTTTTTTGTCAAACTTCTGGGACCAGGACTGGAGCCAGAATTGGGCTGGGGGAGGAAGGGAGGGAGGCGTGTATGCCAACCTGCCGCGCTGCTGTGTGGTGAGCTGCGCCATTCCGTACATTGTCAAGGTACTGATATGTATACAGCCACTGTGCTGACGTCACAACACAATGGATATCACTGCCGCACCTACATCACTATCATGCAAATCATTTCAGCAACATGTTTTGTCATCTTTTTCGACGGCAGCCTTCGGACTCGAAGCACGCCTAACATTCTGTGAATGCTGTGATGAGCGCCATCCAAGAGGGGAAGATGCGTTTCGTCGAATGATGCTGCTTGTGATTTCTGTCGGACAGGACCGCGGAAGGTTTCACACGTCATGCACACCACGTGACCACTCGACCCAGGTTAACCCTTTTCGGTCAGTTGGCTGTACACGCTAGTCAAGCCGCGCAACGCGCCCATTGATGTCTATGGCTGACGTCACCAACTGACTGACATGGCCACTGTTCTGACGCTGCCTTTGTTCTAACAGATTTGCTGTACTGACATCACCGCTGTATGCATGTCATACGGGTTGGTGTTCATGTACTTGCATCAGCCAACACTATATATATATATATATATATATATATATATATATATATATATATATATATATATATATATATATATATATATATATATATATATACGGTCGGGCCGCATGATGTGGCCCGACCGCAACCAGACGTGCTTATCCCTCGTGGGGTGATGTAAAATCATCTGCTGTATTCATGTTTGTGGGCCGAGAGTGGTATGCTTTACGTCGAACATGCGGTATAATGCAGCATGCGATGACCTTTTGCTTGGCGACAGCGGGAGTGTTTCATCGCACCACTTTGCCACTAGTCTGACTGGTCTTGTAATGCTGTGACACTGCACGAGGACAAACTGTGGTCAAACTACGGGCATACAAATCTCGGAGAGCTTTTGGCAGCATAACAAGAGTTTGTGGCAGTATGTCATGACACAAGCTGGTCTTTTGTATATATATATATATATATATATATATATATATATATATATATATATATATACACATATATCCCGGTTCTGCGGGCCCAACCATGATTCGATATATGTATCATCCAGCTCCGGTCTCCAGAAGAAGATTAAGAAAAGACATCTGACTTGAGATAGTCATTTTTTATCGCTTGGCAATGCTTATATCATTTAACGCTAGGTAGCATTATGTGCGACCTGTCGGAACTGTCTGAATAAATTCAAGTATGTATTTTATTGAGCATTTTAAAACGCAGGGAGCGTAATAACAGAATTTCGATTGTGATGGTTGGAATAACCATGAACGAGTCTATATTGCATTTGTAATAAAAACAAATAAAACAGGTGCCTCGTTGCCAACGTCTGGTGTATTTGTCAGTGCTGGTGTACAAATTAAAGGTGACGGCCTATTCTGCGATTTAAAGTATTCATTTCTCACCTGAGTCCAGATTCGTCCGCCGGCCATGATGTGACCTCAGTCGCCCTTCAGGCAGTGACTTCGGCTTCTGATCACAGTGTTGACCTCTGCTGACTTTGATTACGGAATCGGTGACTGATGTAAGCTCTGCTGACTTGGGCACGGTGACCTCTGCTGACTTGAGCGCGGTGACCTCTGCTGACTTGAGCGCGCTAACCTCTGCTGAGTTGATCACAGTGACCTCCGCTGACCTGAATGCCGTGGCTTCGGCCGATCTTGAGCGCGGTGATGTCAAGTGATCTTGAAAGCGACGACCTTGCCTGTCCTTGATATCAGTGACCTATGCTGGTGACCCCTATCGCCCTTGATCACACTGAACCCACTGACCCCGATAGCGGTGTTCCTGGGTGGTCGGACGGGCCACCAGTGCCGGGACACGACTGCCGCCTCTGCTGTCTGCTCGGTGCACCCCGCTCGTGCCGGCTCATCTCGCCCGCCCCGCGGACGCCTGTTGAATGCGGAAGCGAACCAGGCGTGCTGACAATGGTCTCCATGTCGAGTTATTCGAAGCGGTGCCTAGTGCTGTTTTGTTAAAACTTTCCACATTTGATTCTGTTGGTGACGCCTTCCCTTTGTTCAGTTTGTCATTGTTTCTAAAGTGCAGAGTCGTTGGAGCTGCTACAACGAAGTCCACTCAGCTCTGTCGTGTTTTGTCGGGGGACGTCATCACATTTGACGCCGGAAAGGACGGGCCAAGTTCGGAAGGGGAACAGGCTGGTGCTTGGGGAAGCAGGGCTGTTGATTCCGGAGGTGAAACTATTGATATAACGGGGTTTTGTCGTTGTTACCAGGGAGAGACAGCGAAGGGTTTCAGATGGAGAAGTAGCCGCCCTTCGTCCCCAGCCTCTGTCCGCCGATGACGCCCCCTATTTGTCACTCCTTAACACAAGAAAGTGTCGCAATGGACAACACGCTGGACTTTATGCTGGGGCCAAGTACAAACGCGTTCTCTGCGCAATATCTCACTGGCCCGACCGTAACCAGACGTGCTTATACCTCGTGGGGTGATGTGAAATCATCTGCTGTATTCATGTTTTTGGGCCGAGAGTGGTATGCTTTACGTCGAACATGCGGTATAATGCAGCATGCGACGACCTTTTGCTTGGCGACAGCGGGAGTGTTTCATCGCACCACTTTGCCACTAGTCTGACTGGTCTTGTAATGCTGTGGCACTGCACGCGGACAAACTGTGGTCAAACTACGGGCATACAAGTCTCGGAGAGCTTTTGGCAGCATAACAAGAGTTTGTGGCAGTATGTCATGACACGAGCTGGTCTTTTGTATGCAGTGCCCGCTGAATTGGTCGAGACTAGAACATCCAGTTTCCCTCCCCGTGACTTGACGACATTCTGTCGCTTTTGAGCCACTTGAGCGCTCTGGCCGACAAGTCAGTGGTCGCGAGCAGCCCTCACTGCGGCTGTATGTCGGGGGCTTCGCACCGCTGATGTTCTGCCCCTCCTGCCTCATATCCGCTAACGCCTCCATGTATGCATGCTGTCCCGTATTGTTACCTCGCTTCACATATGGCATTCGCGAATTTGTATTGTATACCTAAGCGGAGCCAGCCTTGTCGGAGCTGTTCCTGTCACTGGAACCGGATGCAGCCAGCCAAATTTGCCAACGGCGATGCTGTTGAGCAGGGAGCATATGAATAGCGTGCTGATCGCCGTTCCCAGCATGTAGAGTGCACGGACCCTCGTTGGAAGGATCCATACACTTTAGGAGGTGTACCCGGACCGCAAGCGCCTGACACGGTGCTTCACAGAGCGGCGTGATCTGCGCGAGCTCTCAAGCCGATGCTTGAGGGCTACTTTTATGGCGATGACGTAATTCTGCCCTGATCAGTAACTGGCTGCTGATGCTGACGGGAGTCATTGCTGATTGTGCCATGGCTGTTATTCAACATTGCTGCCCGGTGGTAGTTCGCTGTCACACGTCGCGTTTTTTTTTAGGGAATGTAGCTGTTGTGTGAATGCAAATGGCTTAGTGATGCCAAAAACGAAACGCCTAAGGATCTTAAGCGCATTGCAAACCGGGAAACGACTGGATAAAAGCTACTTGGGAGCGTGGTTTATCGCCCGACATTGGCACCAGTGACGTTTTGAAACCGTGATGCTTTGGTGTTACCGTGATGTTGCCTGCGGTAATTTTCATCAGCCCACCCCGTGTGGCTGCAATTCGGTCCTCACTGGGGTTTTAATGTGCTTTAGAGCATTCTTGGCTGTTGGTGTTCGGCTCAAGATGTAACTTTCATTCACACAATATGAATTGGCAATGATAATGAGCGTAAGCGACGTTCAGTATATCTTGAGGCAATGACAAGCAAACCTGACATAGCAACGCTCACCACGATTATATCTATTTACATCAACCACGGAGCGATTATATAAATCCAGGCATGATGATGGCTGGAGCGCAACTTATACAGACTGTGCTCCAAACATCACACAGGCATCTTGGCATATCTCCCTGCCGTCCCAGCCACCACCGACAGCAGCGCCGTCCCGCGCGTCCCGCTCCAAAAGAATAGTTCCAGCGATGGCCGCCAGGCGCACGCCAGCCATCGCCTCGCCCGAGCCGTCCGCCCGAGCAGCCGTCTGGTACGGGTTACGTGCGCCTGGAAATGGCGGCAACACGTGGCTGTTGATGTTTCATGTGAGAATGACCTGTGAGGAAGACATCTAATCATATGGCATTAGAAGGGGTGGTAGATTTGTGCATGACACTTTTCCCTCCAGGAACAAGCGAGGCTCGTAGTCCGACAAAATTTTGTCGACAAATCACAAAATGGCTTGATATCTCGTATTAATAATCACAGCTGCAGTAAGAGCCCTTATTGAGTCCAATTTTGAATAGGTGAGTGTTCAGTTGCGATGTTCCCAATTCCAGCTTTGTGCATACAGTGTCTACTTTTGAACCGATGAAGTAATTATCGCGGAGGGACTTCTTTACCGTAGTGTTTTGCAACCGTGTAACTAAGTCTAAGGAGAACGGTTCACCAGAGTTTGTTGACTTTGATATCAGTTGTTTTGCAGGCGACGAAATCGTAGTTCGAGCTCCTGGCTTGTTGCTATTTTGCAGTGTTTGTTCATTGTTTTCTGCGTCGAAGGTCCCCGTCCCTACGTCCCGCCACGCGGTGTGGCTTTGACTAAAGCCGACTGAAACTGTGATGTTGGCTCTCGTTCATTTTGATCTGAAGTGAAGTGCCGTGTTGTCCGAAAAGGAGTGTGGGCTGGCAGAAACCACTTAAAGGTAGCTTGAGTACATTAGCGAGGGCAATGCCTCAACGTTGGCCCTTGGGGACATCCTGCAGGAATGTTTGTGGTCCACTTGGGGGGTTTGTCACCCACAACTACCCTTAGTTTTCCCCTGAGAGGTACGGGCATTGGAGATACAACTAAGTGCAGTTGCATTGAAAGGCCCCGAGGGTTCTGGTCGTGGCTCATCGTCACAGCTGATCAGTCCTTTCACCCGTGAACGGCCACATCACGACAGTGATCTTTTAACTCTGATATAGTTAAGCTACACTATATCTTTCCGCCATGACTCGTGGCCGAATTGCGGACCCTTTTTAGTGTGTTGCTCGTATATCCTGAGGTTAATTTCGCAGAGTGAAAATGCATGGGCACTACATTGTTTGTGAATGTCAGGCTGTCATCTGTCACACTGCTCAATTTGGTCTGTCATAATGATTATCATGTTATCAACGTAGCGACCAAATTGGCAAAACTTGCGAATTATCTACTCCTGTTCTTTTTCGGTCAGCTCCACAAACGAAGCTTTTCTTTTCTGTCGGATATGAAGTTTCGTAGCGTTGATGATCGTTCACAATCATCGTCATTGTGACCATGGCCTCGATTATTATGGCAACACGCTGTGTTTCGATCAAAAGGATTGGCCGATCGTTGCTTTGCTGTTCTGTGTCAATCAGATGAACGTCGTAATAAGCGCATTGTGGGCTGACAGGTAACGTGCGGCCTTCTTAGGTCTTCGCGCTAAATGGACGTATGTTAGTTGTACAATGAGCATTTGCGTCCATAACTTAGGATAGTGCGTACTGCCGTAATGCACCAATGTAGCTGCAGTCATTGAAACCCAGTCAAGGATGAATTTGGTGCAGTCCTGAGATGGAAGCAGGCACTTGTTTTCGCGCGCTCGTGTCTTAATTTCATGGACTTCACAAAACCTTGAAACTTACGTTAATCGGGACTGACAAGGTCATGCAGAGCAGCTCTGAAGATGGCAGGCGCCGCCATGTTTGGTCTGGCGGCGCGTCCAGGCGAGACAACCGCTTGCAGCGAGTTCTTTCGATGAAGTGCGAACACTGTAGCAGCCGAATACGCCGTACTCAAGTCGTATATAGACGCCGAAATCGATCACTCAGTTTTTAGTAGGATGGAGAAATTAGCATATCACCACGCACGGTACGTTTCGGTTGGAACGATATTAGTGGGATGTGTGGTGCCATGCGACTGTATGGCAAGCACGGGACCACACGACATTTTGAAGACCTTCATAGTCCTCAGTTCATTTTTAGCAACTTCCTTGCATGCCGCACTGTCCTGATGGTTTGGTAGTTGTTTGGAAACTTTGGGTATTATCTGGCGTCCCTTAGTCTCGCTTCCCCTGCTGAGACGGTTGTGACCTTAAGCCTACAGGGTTTCAAAAACTTCTCATAAATTGTCAATCTACGGATATATTCAGCCACATTTGAGTCAACGATGGAACCATTCGATAAACCTTTTCACATGTCATGCAAACACCATTCATGCAAAATTCGTCCTCTCGGACTCCATACAATAATGTGCAACTTCGTTCGCTAACTTTTAAGCATTCGTTAATCTAGATTGGCGGACGTTTTGTTCCCGCAGATATTTATCTAACTCACAGCATCATGTTCTACAAGATAGTATCTTTAGCACAGTTCTAGGGCATTCCTGTTATTTGTTTTGCGAGGCCCGTTGGAATCGCTGTTGGGCTGTCTCACGCTCTTGAAGATGTGTATCGGCTCTGCCGCTGTTCATTCGGCCTCAAGTCTGATGCTCCACTCATAACTTCTACGCCAGGGCTGAGCAACTGCTACAGAGCGCTTCGGGGCAGCTGTTTAGCGCTAATGCTCAACTGTCGCCGTCCGATGTCGCCATCCGAGTTCGCCATCCGAGGTCGCCATCTGATGTCGCCATCCGAGGTCGCCATCTAGGGTCGCCATCTGAACAGCTCACGCCGCTGGCTGGACCGTCACCCGCTCGGTGTCAGCCGTTATCACCTCGGTATCAGGCGCCGCCTGCTTGTTTTCAGCCGTTGCCACCTTGGTGTCAAGCGTCGCCATCTGAGTGTCAAGCGCTACCACCTTGGTGTCAGGCGCCGCCCGTTCTGTGTCAGTCGGTATCACCTCGGTGTCAGGCGCCGTCCGTTCGGTGTCAGTCGTTATCACCTCGGTGTCAGGCGCCTCCCGTTCGGTGTCAGTCGTTATCACCTCGGTGTCAGGCGTTGTCCTATCGGTGTCTGTCTCTTTCCCTTTGCTTGTTTCGCATCCCACCGTGCCATTCTCGAGCTGCTCCTCCTCGCTGTCCGGGCGCGCCTTGTTCGCGTCCACCTCCTCCTCTGGCCGCTCTTGGGCCTCTTTCGCCGCGGCTGCCGCTGCCGTCGCTTCTGCCGGCTCCTCTTCGCGCCGCTTGGTGCTGAAGTGTTTGAACTGCACCTGCTCCAGAGTCAGCCCCCGTGTCTCGGGCAGCAGGCAGCGGGCAAACACCACCTGCAGCACGTTCACGCCGGCCAAGGCGGCGAACAGGCCCGACAGACTCAGGGTCCCTTTGAGCACCGGGAACAGGTGGATGAAGGCCATGCTGAGCGCGCCCATGTAGAGAGAGATGGCGCTGCCGTACATCTGCCGCACCGAGACGGGGAGAGTCTCGCCCAGATACAGGTGCGAGAGCTGGGAGATGCCGCCCATACTGGCGGCGTTTGCAACGATGATGCCGACCATCACTAGCCAGGTGTGCGCGCTCAGTGCTGCCTGAGGGCGAAGGTCAGGCAGTTCATGTGACAGGGTTGGTGTAGGGCGCGGCATTGTGTGGGGGCCACACGTTGTCTAATGGCCGCTTTACTGTTCCCCGAGCGTCACCACTCGGTAGTCACCAACGTCGCCTCGGGAATCCGGGTCATGGCCAGTGTCGCCTGGGGAAGCCGGGTCATGGCCAGTGTCGCCTGGGGAAGCCGGGTCATGGCCAGTGTCGCCTGGGGAAGCTGGGTCATGGCCAGTGTCGCCTGGGGAGGCCGGGTCATGGCCAGTGTCGTCTGGGGAAGCCGGGTCATGGCCAGTGTCGCCTGGGGAAGCCGGGTCATGGCCAGTGTCGCCTGGGGAAGCCGGGTCATGGCCAGTGTCGCCTGGGGAAGTCGGGTCATGGCCAGTGTCGCCTGGGGAAGCCGGGTCATGGCCAGTGTCGCCTGGGGAAGCCATGGCCATCACCAGCGTCGCCTCGGGAGGCCATGGCCATCACCAGCGTCGCCCAAGCTAAGCAAAGTCATCACCAGTTTCACTTTGGGAATAGTGATCATGATTCGCGTCACCCTGCGATGCAAATCATAACCAGCGTCGCCTGGGCAACAGGATCTTCACCAGTGTCGCTGAGGGAAGTAAAGTCATAATGCGTCGCTTGGGAAGACAGAACCATCAAGAGGATCAGCGCCAACGTTGCAGAGGATGGCAGAATTATCATTAGATTTGTCTGCGATGGCACTCCTGTCGTGGTCATCGATCGTTATTTCCCCGCAGCGACTAGCAACACCCGAATTCGCTTGATCATGATTCATCAAGCCCGTCTGTTACGTTCTCGTGAGGACGTGCCTCGAAGTGGAAATAGGCTGCCGCGGTCAGCTGCCCGAGGCCGGTCAGCACGGCCGAACCGATGAGCACGGTGCGCCGTCCCCACCAGTGCAGCAGGAAGCCTGACACGCCGATGGCTGCCATCTGATGGGGAAGAGCGGCGTCAGTCGACGCAGCAGGGCTAATGGTAGCCGCCTCACAAAGAGACCCTCCAACTAAAATGTTTGAGGAGTTCGTTCGAAGTCTTTCGGAAAACTTGTGTACGCATTCAAACATTTTGTAGATTTAGCCTAAAAAGTCCCCAATACTTAGTCGTAACTATGGTGTTGAAATCGGCGGGTTGCATTTGGTAACATATGCTATTTGCACGCCATTAAAAAGTTCATATATATGCTGGTTGTAATATGTGAAATAGTGCCTACATGTCTGAAAGCATCCCACCTGAACGTAAGTCCTCATGGACGTGGTGAGCAATTACATTGTGTCACTCAACAACTCGTATATCCGATATATGTACAGCCGCGCTTTTGGCTCCGCTAATTCTGCATAATCTCCGAGAATGCCTATTCTGATTATTAGGAGGCCGAGATCTACGACCTCGCAATTAAGGAACATGAATGCACCACACGACCGCGGCCTGACAGCATCCGCTTGAGCCAATAAAGGGTGTCAAGCTTGTATCGACGATCTGAAGATCGTGCTCATAGGCCGAGCGTTCTCACTGGGCTCTCACAAATGCGCGCGGGTCGCTGTCACGTGCGCACTCTTATCTGTCATGTCATCTGGGACATGTTGTCATTCTTAGTTGGTGATAGCCAGGGAACGCTCGATCACGGGAAGGCCCTCCTTAGGTCCTCGCCAGGTCCTCCTTAGGTCCTCGTTAGGTCCTTGTTCGGAGAGGTCGTCGGTAGCTGTTCACTATGTGAGGAAGGTGATGGGTGGATACAAGGCGACCGTCACCCCCGTCAAGGTCTGAGGAGGCTTTCTTCGCTAACGCACATCTCGGGACTGAAATTGTCACATGTTCCTTACATCACACATCACACAGTGATGGCTGATAACGATGGACTATATCCCTCTGAAGCAAATACCACGGCATTTGCCGACGACAACCGGCCGGGCCTTTTCAAATTGTACAGCCTGATATGAATAATTGATATATTTGAGAACATGTTGATTGATAATGAATTACATAGTCGATTGACTTGCCAAGGGAATGAGCTATGTCTCGGTGTTGGTCTGTGCGACGTCCCGCGCGCGGGGCTCACCTTGGGTGGCCGGTCACGTGTCCTGGTATCGCCGCTGTAACAGCAGTCGTGCTGGCAAGGCATGACATCGCCGGATGGCCCTTTCCTCCGGCCCCAGAGATCATTGTCAGCTGAACACTATGTATGTGTATGTGTATGTGTATGTGTATATATATATATATATATGTGTGTGTGTGTGTGTATGTACACACTACATATATATATATATATATATATATATATATATATATATATATATATATATATATATATATATATGCCTGGTTTACATGGCGACCCATGACTATGAATTTGCCGCCGACTCGAAGCGTTGCGTTGACTACACCTTGTAGTCGTGTGCGTTTTTCACGTTGTTTGAATCGGGTAGAATCGCATAATCCTATATGCGAACGTGTATCAACTTTCAGACGCGACATGTGTTGGCCCTCTCCCTCCGTGTGAAGTCACAATCAATCAATCACACAATCAAACACAATCAAAACACAATCAATCATCGACACCCACGGACCGCGAGGCCCACGGCTGTTTGATGAGGGGGGGGGGGGTCGTTTCCAGTAGCAGAGGCCATCTCTCGGAAGCATGGTTGGATTCCCCATGTAACCAGCCGGAGCGGAAGGGATTTTAGTGGCACATCTTAAACCATTTTGCGTTCTACTTTATTTCCCAAGTAAACAAGGTAATGAGGTGTGGAGGTACTAGGTACCAAGTGGTAGACTAGGTGATTTGGGTACTGTGCCGCGGAGTTGTCCGGTAAACGAACTCCATTTGGTAATCGAAACTCGAAGCCAGACGCTCTCGGTCACAGCAGCGCGCTGATTCGCCCATACCCAGTGACGTCACCATTCGGATGTCTCACCTGTAGTACGGCGAGCACTTGCGCGCATTGGCTTGGGGTCAGTGACATTGCTGCCATTTGGAAGACGGAGAGCGCGTACTGGTTGAGCACCACGCCGCCGCAGAAGGTCTCGAAGAAGAACTGGACGAACATGAGCAGGCACGGCTTGGCGACGTCCCAGTCGGTGAAGATTAGATGGACCTGAGCAGAGGCCAACAACGCTCAACATGGCGCTCAGCATGGCGTGAGCAACAGGGCGCGTCTTCCGAGGTTGTCTGTTCCGATGCCGGAAGGGTTTACGTGAGCTTTTAGTAGCGAGTGGTGTAGGCGTTCGTACCTACTGGGATTGTTCAAAGTCATTGGGGTACAAGCATCAGCAGGCACCGTCGGTTGCAGTGCAAACAGTGCGGCACTGTCTTGTTTACGTCGCACTGAACTGGCTCACTCCAGAACGTCATTATCTGTTCATCGTTCGTAACGAGAGTCTTGCATGCCTCGGCTTTGAAACCATACGCTCCAAAAAAGGTGGTAAGTTTTCCTTCACCTTTGTGCTGGCTGTTACCCTGCTCCAAAGCTCCCCGCACGAGCCCTTTCTTGAGACGAGTCTTTGACGCATATCATCGTTTAACCCACAACCTTGCCACTCGCCTCTTGTGTCGTACCTCACACTCGCAATTTTCATATGCATCAACAATGTATCTGCATGCATATTCCGAAGCCCCACCTGCCGCCGAATGCTAATGTTGGGTCTGCCTCTAAGAGACAGCTGGATATCCTTGACCTCTTGTATGACGTCTGCCTTCTTGCCTCGGTAGAAGAGGATTGCCTTGTTGACCACGTCGGTGCCGGCGCCGCGATGCATGAGCCATCTGTCGGTGGCCAGCGAAACTAGTAAGCGCCATGGATGAGGCGCCACTCGGTAGCGAGCGATTGCAGCATCTGGGCAAAAGCGGATAATGGACACATGCGCAATGACAGGAATGGAGCTGCTGCGCTGTTGTCACATGCCACTCACATCATGCGTAGGGCGTAGGAAGACCAGGGGTGTGGTGTAAACATGATTGGGCACCTGGGTGAACTGGGCAGCAGAATCGTTCCGATGATCTGTACCACGGAAGGCACGCAGCCGCACAGTAGAGAGGCGTATCGCCACGGTATGACGGCGCCGATGGAGAAGTTAGCCAGAAGACTGAATCCAATGGCCACACCTGGTAGGTAGCAGAGCGTAGAGCGGTACCGGTTTGTTGTCACCTGAGAAGGGATTGGTTGTCATCTGACAAGAAGAATGTGACAGATGAGCATTCCAAAGGGAGTGCTTTCGTGCTATGCAGTCGAAGCCTGTACCTCTGCAGTATGCCTCTTCAATGTCCGGGAAAGAAGTCCCTTAGAGAGCATTTATTGTCTTCCAAATCCACGGATCACTCGCAACGTTCAAACGATTGAACGCGAAGTTAACGAAAAAGATGAAATTAACACGAAGTGCTGGACCCACTTTGGCATTTGCCATGCTTTTGGCATCCGTGACTCCCAACAGCCCCACCTGCGCCCCCCCCCCCCCCCCCCCCCCCCTCTGTCCCGCTCTACGAAGACCGACCAGCGAACGACAGTCCATGGGCTTCGTCCGCTGTATTTGGCGGCTCTCCTGCCGTGTCCCTCTCCGGGAAGGCGTGACCGTCCATTCTCTAGCTCTCCGCCGGAGATGGCGCAGGGCCACCCGGCGCCTATCCCTCCGATGTGGAGTCGTAAGGGAGGCTTTTGGGCCCACGCACGTCGCTGACATGGGACCTTACCGGCATGCCGTTCATGCCCACGTACCCCCTGACATGGGACCGTGCCGGCATGCCGTTCACGCCCACGTACCCCCCTGACATGGGACCTTGCCGGCATGCCGTTCACGCCCACGTACCCCCCTGACATGGGACCTTGCCGGCATGCCGTTCAGGCCCACGTACCTCCCTGACATGGGACCGTACCGGCATGCCGTTCAGGCCCACGTACCCCCTTGCTGCGATGCTGCGCTTGCAACTCCTCCGCTCCAATCGACTCTGTGCCATTTCCGAAGAGGACCTGACGAGGCCGCTGCTCGAGGTGCAGGACGACCTGACGCCTCGCTTCCCGTGTCACGTCAGCAAGGGTCATCGGCGAGAAGACTGCCCTGGAAATGGTGGTCGTCGCGCTTGGTGGGGTCTCCCAATGAGACACGCGCGCGCCGGGAGGATGACCGAGGTGATCTAAGTCGTTGGCGTTCAGGTGTTCTGGCAGCGGCTCGACGGTGGCGAAGCCCAGGGAATCTTCCACTCAGTGAACCTTGCAGCACTGTCTTACATTTCGGCACGCTCATCGTGCCCATTCGCGCTGTTGTGCCGCGAACTCACCTGGAGGTGCTCAGTGGCTGTTGTGCCGCGAGCTCACCTGGAGGTGCTCAGTGGCTGTTGTGCCGCGAACTCACCTGGAGGTGCTCAGTGGCAGTTGTACCGCGAGCTCACCTGGAGGTGCTCAGTGGCTGTTGTGCCGCGAACTCACCTGGAGGTGCTCAATGTCCTGGCTGACTGCAGAAAGGTAGACTTGGGCGTCTCCAGGGCCACCTCATCGGGGTATTGGTGCCATCTCTGATAACTGAGTGAATGCCTGTGTCTCTGCACTCGCCATTGAGTGAGTACAGATATAGAATGCGCCAAGGGCCCCTTTCCTCCCCCCTCCCCCCCAGCGCATTATGCAGAAGTTTTTCAGGAGGATCTCGCGCGAAATACGTCAGCAGACTTTTGTACGGCATACTGCAAGCTTCTTTTCTAACAGAGAGCAATGGACACCGTTTTCCTCGAGTTGGAGCCAGTCACCGGGCCCAGCACTGCGTCCTACGTGTCGGCGGAGTGCTGCGGCTCGCGCTGAGCGTCGTCAGCGACCTCAGCGCTGAGCGACGTCAGCGGCCGGGTGGGTCGGGCGGCGGTCGGAAAGAGCACCTGGAGAAAGCCATCTTCCGACGCTGGGCCAGTGTTGAAAGCACGCGCCGAGAACAAACCTTTCGCCAAAAGAGCACGATGAGTAGAGTGAACAGCCAGTAGACCTGCCCCTCCCGCTCCCTAAAGGGGTTCCACTCATTTAGTGTGAGGGTGCATTCACCCGTTTGTGAGCAACGGTGGTTATGCATATCCTGTACCAATATTGCAGTGATTATGTTTCTATTGGGGAAATTTCTGGGTTCCTACACTAAGCATAACTGAAATGATCGACGCAAAACCTCTGATTATTCTTTCATTATGCTGAAGATATTGTTGTGGCGTTTTTTTCACGATTGCCATAGTGTCACATGCCGCATTTGCCACATTGCCACAATGTCACATTGTCTGCTAGGCTAAGAGCTCTACCTAGTTGCGAAACTCAAATTGTGTATTTCAGGTGGCACTGTTTCGGTGAGGCCTGCTTACTTCTGAATGGCGCTATGTCCGGTTCAGCTGTTGCGATGTAGAGCCGTTCCGTGAGGCCTCTCAGTCCCGCGTACCTCGGCGACGTAGAGCCGTTCCGTGAAGCCTCTCAGGTCCGCCTACCTCAGCGATGTAGAGCCGTCCCGTGAGGCCACTGAGGCCGACGATCCCGCCAGCTATCATGGCGCCGGCGATCATCATGTTTCGCCCCCCGAGCGTCATCAGCGGCCAGGCCAGCAGGTTGAACGGCACGCTCAGTTGGATCACGCGCAGCACGCCCAGCCTGTCCGTCAGCGAGGCAGAAGCTACGCACGCTTCGGAGGGGAGGGGGGAGCGTGATGTTAGTTAGATGGACGACCACGCGCCATTCGTGCTGCGGCATCATTTTGGGAAATTTATCCATCTGTGTAACGGATTTGCGCCAGTGGTTGATGCGCAGGTTGCGCAGGTTGATGCTCATATCATGCAGGTTGATGCTCATATCATATCATGCATGCAGGCTCACCTGCGCAGGTTGATGCTCATATCATGGCAATGCGTGTATTATATTCAATTTTATAACTATGCAGTCTAGCCGGCGTTTTCACAAATGCTCCCACTGGTGTTTCATGTTCACTCAGCCATTCTGATAAAGTTTGCTGATGTATGCGTATCTGGACTCCTTTTCATGCCAAAGCGAATAATGTGAATTGTTGTGTCTGGTCCTCAAGCTGCCACCCAGGTAGTGCTATTGCGGTGCGATGGTTTTCCTGGTAACTTATCAAGGTTTTTTGTACAAACGCTTCTTTTGTGTCAATTTTTAGTTACAGTCTATTGCCATGAAGGATGTGCCAGCCTAACAGAGTGCATCGTTTTGTGAGCAACGGCTTTTGACCCCATTCTGAACATCTGACACAAAATACACATGTCTTATTCCTACCGAGCAACCGGTCCGAGTCTTGTTTCATTGCTAACATGCGGTCCAGGTTGATATTGTGTATTCTGACTGGTCGTTCTGTCCAGATAAATAATGGCGAATCTCTCCTCACCAACTGGCTCAGGTTTCACAAGGCGACACTTTGAGACAGCGGGACAAGGTTGGAAGTAGCAGCTCTGTGATGGATATTTAACCCAGGGTAGAGTTTGCGGCTCCGTACCGAACATCCTGCCGAGGTTAGAGATGGCCGCCACCATGGTGGCGTCGCGCAGCGTCAGCTGAGCGGTGGCGTCAGATGACTGCGACTCGGCCAGCAAGTGGGCGGCGAAGCTGAGCGTGGCGCCGTAGATGGTGGGCGTCATGGACATGACGACCGCCGCCGCCACCTGAGCAACAAACACAGCGACCATATCGTCACGGACATGTTGTTAGTTACCCAGTGTATGACTGACGAGGGAAAGTGACGTGTGGTTCAGTTTCGGCTTGAGCTTGCCGTGTATCCTGGCGCGGGTGTTTCGTCGCTCTCCCAATGTTTAAAAGTTATAACATGTGCCCTGGCATGTTGCGCGCTGATAGTTTGCGCCAGCGTTTTGTCATCTCCTTGATTTTGCATGTCAGCTTTGTCAATTTTTCAAAGTTCCATGTGTTTTTGCGAGCTCTGTACAATTATGTAGCTGCGCAGCGGTATCTTATTTCCAGGAAATAGTTACGTAGAGTTATTTGTTCATGAAATGTGGAACATCATGTACAGAACGGTCTTGTTTCGGTGTTGTGTATGTGTCTTGTAAACTGGTGTAATGTAGTACTTGTAGCCAAAAGCAATCTCTCCCTGGACATGAATACCCTGCCTCTTCATTAGGGGCTATATAATTGCACATTTTACTTCCTGTATGCGTGGGCAAAAATATATTATCTTCTTTGCACCGGGATCCGTTACGTCGTTCGCTTTATTGTGCAACATCCTGATTGGAAAGCCATAACTTGTCGGAAACTTTGGTCAATTGGCAGTGCACCGTTTCCAAAACTTGAAGTAATTTAGGTGTATTTTGTTCTGAATTGGAGGCTAGGTGAGACCATTACAGACATTGCTAAACGATGGAAACGACACTTCAGTGAAATCAGTAGCTTGAATTGAACTTGAGGCTGAGTGAACAATATGTTACTGGTTGCCCTTGATTACAAAGATGATTGAAGTTCCTCATATGGTAACAGTTGAACGATGGCTGTTAAACAGATAGAACTGCATATAGCACACGTAAGACAGAGCTGCACATCTTACATGTTTTGCTGACACCCAGGCAGTTGATGCAGAACGTATTTCGACAGTTTGGTGATAGTTGTGTTTGAATTAGAGGGATACTCCTTTGTGCCGTCACTGTATTGGATGAATCTCTCCACACACGCACAGTGCGGTGCAATGAACATAACTGTGTTTTCAATTGTAATGGATGTCAAAAACTTTTATTTCTCGTGCTGTTTTAAAACAAAACATGGAACTGCTAACCACGTACTTTGCGTAGGCAGTGGAGGAGTTTTTGGTGCAGTTTGGTGCTTCAGTCTCCTGCTTCCCCCCCCCCCCCCCCCCTCCCGCTCGTTGTCTGGTCCCTCCCAACGTTCGGGCCAGCCACGACTCAAAACGCAAAATACGTCCAATCGAGCTGAAAATCCGGCCTTTAAATGGTTTCGGGATCACATTTAGCCTTGCTGATGCCCTCCTTGCCCCCCCCCCCCCCCCCGCCCTTACCCCCCCCCCCCCCCCGTCCGACGCCTCACCTGACTACACAGTCCGTCACGGGCCATGCTGGCGTCCCAGCCGGCGTCGTCGCGCTGTCCGGTGTGACCTGTGTGGACGCTGCCGCGCCACTAGATCCGATCAGGAGTCGTCGCCACCCACTTCGGTGCGTGCTGCGGCACCGGCGAGCCGCTCCTGGCCACGGAGCTCGTGCTGCGAAATAATGCATGACCCGTGTGCTCAGTTATTCATGCTTGCACTTTCATCTCATGACATTTACTATTTTACGTATCAAATTATAAGAGTTTCACGGAAACCGACCTGGTAATTTCTTAACATAGGACCGTTAGTAGGCGTCAAAACAGTGTTTAGGTCATTTGGTGATCCGTGACATGAGTCAAGGTCTGGCGATTTAAAGACGAATTAATTGGCTAAGTTGAACCGATGGGCGAAGATGTGGTAAAGATCTCGTCCCAATAGTTTCGTAGTATGGAACCGTCAGCACGCCTAAAACAACGTTAAGGTCATATGGTGACCTGTGATCTTTGTCAAGGTCGTCAGACAAAAGAGAAGGATAATTTTATGGTGTGGAATTGAAGGATGAAATAGTATAAAGACCGGATGCACAGTTTTCCAGGTTGCAGGGTTGTCAAAAACTGCATTTTTATTTTAATTGGATCAATTCATGACCTTGATTTTTCTCTAAGGTCATGGTCTTGAAGAGGCTCTCCGTGAGGCACCACCATGTTGGAGATTGAGTGCCACAGTGATCCTGTGAGCAGTTGGGGAGGGTTAAAAAGCGTCTCATGCGGCCAATGGGGAGTTGCCAGTCTTGGCCCGCGTCTGGCAAGGGCGTATTTACTGCTATAGATATAAAAAAACGCCAGTTCTGACAAGCACGTGCTGCAAGGCCACCAAACCTGAGCAATTTTCTTGTGCTGCCAGACAACGGCTGCTGTAAACGCACAATTGGCAAGCATTGTCAAGACATTTAACACCGAAGTGGAATGGGTGAAAAAGTAGGAAGTGGGATGTGTCAAGGCATCAGCAAACCTGAACAGGACAGGAATGAGCCAGTGAGCCGTAAAACAAATGTTGACTGGTTATTAGCCCTCGGCATGGTGTTCTGTTCTGTTCCGCTGTCAAGCTCGAAAGCCTGAGGGAAATCACACGCATTGGCATGAAGCGCACATAAATAACGGGGGAAAATCACATTTTCCGTCCCCAAATCTGCACAGTGGGGCTGGAGATGACATGACGGGACAAAGCAGAAAAGAAGAGGATAGCACAGTACAGCACAGCACGGCACAGCACAGCACAGCACAGCACAGCACAGCACAGCACAGCACAGCACAGCACAGCACAGCACAGCACAGCACAGCACAACACAACACAGCACAATAGGAGAATGAGCGAAGAGAAATTCGTCAATATAAGTCGAGAAGAAATGCATCTTTCTGCCCTTCCTGTAAATCTCACTTATCAGTTCACCCCCTCCCCGCCTCCACCACACAAATAATGTTGTGAAACTTCGCCCTAGTCAGGTCTTCTGCATCAAATGGCCTCACAATTCCTGTGACGTCTTGTGGCACGCACTAGGCACACTCAAACACAGACACAGATCCATCACTCGCGAGGTTTATTGTGCCCTGAACAACGGGCATGTCATGGATATCGATGGACTCTCGCCAGCCCCGGGTCGTTGACCTGCGGCAGTCGCTGGGCAGAAAGAGGTGGAGCACACGGCTCCGGAGCGCGGGCCGGAGCCGAGCTCCGCAGACGGCGGGAGCTAATGGGCGGAGGCGAAGGTCATATCGGCAGCGGGTGGAAAATGAAGTAAATCCCTAGAGACAGCTACCTGATAGTTGACATTATTTGGACTATTTTTGGTAATTTTTGGCTGTTCAGCCCTTCTCCCGCAACTGATTTTGTGAGACTACACCCATAGTCTGTGCAGGTTTGTTTTTGGTCAGTCATCTAGTAGTCACTGGGATATTCTGTCTCTACTCCCTACACTGTTCTTCACCACTAGTGATCGTGATAGGCAAGAACGAACGTAAAGATGCTCCCAGGCTGAGGGGATCTGTGAAGGTAATCTGACAAGAGCCGCCTGCCTGAAAGCATTTGAAGGTTGCTATGTGCAACGCGCTTACCTCGCCATACATGGATGCCTTCTGAGCTTTGAGCTGGCTTCTAGCTTTTGTGGCTGTGCACCCACGCGCTACCACTCTATCACCATGACCCAGCACGAATCGTGCGTGTTTTCCCTTAGACGGCTTGCTTCGTCCTGCTGTGGTTCAGAGGGGTGTGGCAAACTACACTGGCGTTAACACGACGGCTTTCGGCTGGCTGGCGCGCCGAGCCAGGCACGGTTAGCCGCCGGTTTGTTTATCGGTGTGCGGTTGCATGGTTGTAAACATGTTTATCAGTTTCGAACGCATCGGTGTCAACGAGGTGCTGACGACGTAGATTTTCATGTATCTGTCCGTATTGTTTATGTATCTATGAAACTACTTATTATATGATCTTTACGTTCTTATCAATATCTTTATCTATACTTTATTATGTCTACAGGAATGTATACGCTCGCAAAGCCGTTTGACTTTAGTCAGGGGTCTTTGTTCAGCAACCCCTCGGGCCTAGTTTTTCCACTTTACCTGGGTCTCGCCGTGCCCCGTAAATTCTCAGGAGGCCATGCGGGGATCCTGAGCACAGAGGGGGTGGGGGAGATACCCTGTGGAGCAGCCGCAGCAGCCTCCCAACGCTTGCCTTTGGCCTGAATTTGTGATCCTGCGGATGCTTGTGACGACTTCACGTGGGAAGACCGGCCGACCAGGCGTCGCATTTTTGCGGCATTGGCTTGGAGCCAAGTTGGTTATGCGACGAGTGATCCTCGATGACTCCTTGATCAGCTTGTCGGCCCTAACAGCTCTAAGCTGGTCGTGTTTCATTATGCGGGGCATTTCGATTCACCTGACAGCGTTGAACCGCGCGGGTAAGATTGCCATCCAATGTTGGATACCCGGTAGGTAATGAGCTGGCTGACGCGACGGCGAAACGAGCGGCGCGCGCATCTCGCACCCGCGCGTTGCCCCTTGCCTCGTTGCCCTGCCGGCGCGGAACTTTTACTGTGCCATCACGGCATTTGTGAAAGGAAAATTGCAACGGTTATGAGATGTCAGCACCAACAGCAAGCTAAAAGCCGTCAAGCCACAGTTAGGGCTATGGCCGTCGAGCTCACGCGATGCGAGACAAGTTGTGCTTTGCCGAGTACGGATTGGTCACACGCACGCGACGTGTGGTTATCTCCTGTGTGGTGAATGGTGGCCTCAATTCCCTGGCTGTGATTGGCCGATTACGATTCACCATGTTATTCAGCTATGTCCGCATTTGAGCGAAGAGCGGTTACAGTATTTCGGACGAGGTGCTCCAGTTCTGACCTGTTCAAACATTTCTGGTGACGACTCTCGCGTTCGTGCCGCAGCTCAGTAGTTTTCATGTTTGGCTACTATCGGGTTTTTGGCCATTTACACACGTCGTTAGTCATTTAACCGTTATGGGCGCAAAACGATCCGAATAGTCGGCGCGCCCTCCACTCCAATCATCGTCGTCGCCGATGGGGGAGCTACCAGACGCAGTGTCTGCCTGCATCCCTGGGCCTTTGGCCGCATCCCGGCCAATCTGTGAGATGCTTCTGGTCATGTCTTCGTATTTGGAGGCGTTGTCCCCGCGGACGCGCGCCCGGAGGCTCCCACAGCTGCGCTTCTGGCGCACCGGCCCGCGTTTGGCGCGCAGGTAGTCCCTGGCGGCACAGTAGTTCCCCAGTGTGCCGTCATTTTTTGGGCTCCGATTTCGTAGGTGGGGATTCTGAGCGGTGAAGCAAAAAAGGGGATATTTATTATACACAACAACGCAACTTAGACTGCAGCCAGCTTCCTTGGCAGGGGTTGGCGTCCTGTCCCTTTCAGCAGGGACGAGTCCTCGACCTGACTGGGTCACGCCAGACCTCAGCTCACTTTCTCATCGTGGGAACCTGGCAGGGGCAGGGGCAGAAGCCCACAGGGTTGAAATCTCAATGGCCGGTGAGCCAAGAGGTTGCGCTCGTCAGCGTAGTGGATCTTTGGTGGTCGACTACAACAGGAAGAGTGGCAACAGAAACCCAGGTCAAGAAAGCTCTTTTATTACCACGTTCTAGGAAAATAAGCCAATGTACCATCTCCATGATACCCAGCCAAACTTTGAACCGGGGAAAGGTAGTCATGCCAAGCCAAGCACTAGGTGGTGGTGATCGACGAGGATGTGACCGAGTGGCTAGCTTCTCAGTGTGGCACGAGCAGAGCGGATCATACTAAGACACGGCAGAAGCGAAAGACAGGCGGATGTCTTCGTCCTAGCGATTGCCGTGCACAACATATCTGAGAGTAAGTCTTTTAAGTCAGGTTATGAGACATCAGGCAGTATTTCCCGACTCGTTCATTCATGCAAGGTCCTCTTTCGTGTTTCGTGTACCAAAAAGTCGGACGCGCCAGCCTTCTATGTCGAGGACGCGCCATCTGGGAATGCGAGTCCTCTTCGGTCCACGCTGCAGGGATTGCAAGGTGAAGAGACGACAGTGCCGGTTCTGTGTGAGTAAGGATGTGGCGGACCCTTGTTCCTGCCAGATGGCTCAACGAGGAAGAAATTGTTACAATGAACGGGATGCATCGTTTGTCTTTCTGGGAAGTTTCAGCTAGGTATGATCGGATACAACCACAGAAGACTTACGCCGTGGCAACCAAAACCTTCGAATCTGGTGCATATTGCGCATGTTAGTAAGATTGACGTCTCGAGTAAGCCGACTGTGGGCGAGTTTAGCTGTTTGCAGAAATGCTGGGTCTTGCGCTCATCCCCAGGCCGTCCGGTACGTCTGCAGCTCACGGTTCTTGTGAGTCTTGTTTCCATCCCGGCTGCGTGGTGGAGTCGGTGCATGCAACAGGAACAGTGACAGACGTGAGGGAGGGATGGACTCCTTTAATTCATTCACCGACTTGGATTCTTTCACTTGGTTCCTTTACCCAGAAAATTACCTGCGGAGAACTTCTTTCTGTCTTAGATAGCTATCCAAAAGGTTAAGCTCAGCTTGTGTTTAGCACCTGCCTTCGTGACTTCACCAAAGACTGCATAAATCGATAGTGATGGGCGCTGCATGACCTTCAGCAGTCGGTGCACCCTAAAACCCCAAATCATCATCATCATCATCATCATCATCATCATCATCACCAAAAACTGCTGCAAGCATGTCATTGCATAGATAGCCAGATAAGGGAATTAGTCGGTGAATACAATATGTCCTCCAAATTCTCGACTTCGCTGCATCAGATGAATACAACGTACAGCTTAAGTTACCCTTGCGAAAAGTCAAAGAAATATCAGCAACAGAAGCCGTCACATGTAAAATGCTGTCTCACATCAACAACAATAATGATAACAATCAACAGTAACAACAATTATCATTACTAGATAATTATGTTAATATTGCATTACTAGTTAATAATTATCATCACTAGAATACTATGCTGGGTTGTATTCCAAAGAAGCATATGTGAGTAGTCAATAAGTAGTGAGAAGAACATGATTCCCAATACACTGTGTTAAGACATCTTTTAGCTGGCATCTCAAAGAAGTATGCCTCTGAAGTAAACGTGACTGCGTGACATCGGCATCGGATGGGAATTCTGCTGGTTATGTTCTGACCGCTGTTGGGTCGCAGGTAAGCCAGGGAATAATAACATAACTCACCGTATATTGGTTTGGCTATAACGCAAGGCAGGTGGTGTGTATTACCTGGTAATTTACAAATGCGTCATAGCGTGGTAGTACCCCATTTTTACTTGATTTTATTTGTAAGCATTGTAGTGGTTTTCCTTCCGAACAGTGGTATGCCTGTTTGTCCAGTTTGCCTGCGAGTCTACGCCATCTTGCAGGTGGTTTTATTCTTGCGATCCCGCGCGTCCGTTATTAATTAAGCGAAGTCGCTGCCGATGTACTGGTGAAACGTATTTTTAGCTATATGACTTGCACGCTTTGGACGATTAAGCCTAAAGTAGCTAGATTAGCTTCATCGTAAACTATTGTGAAATCACCGCATCATAGAGAAAGAACACTTTTCGTTCTCAAGGGGACTGTTCTACATATGAAAACATCGGGGGAAGCATCAGACATGCTTGAAAAACTCTCTTGTAATTATTGGCTGCTTCAAGTGCAAGACGGCTTTAAGTAACAAATTGCGGCTAATTGGTGAATCTGGTCATCACAACGTCCTTGTTTGAGTGCATCATGTGGAACATTTGCATGCCGTCAGAGTCGCTGCCAAAGCTGCTGCGTCGGAGTTACGGTTGCAACGGACGTTGTTACTTGCTTCTGGTATTTCTGCACGCCGCAAGGTGGCGCCTTGAATTTATATTGTGTGCATTCAGCTAACGGGCGTCTGTGCGCGCATTTTGGCCTGATAATCTCGTATAGCTGTCTCGATGGTATCTTTTTGCTTGCATTTGCCGTTCCGGTTACGGTGCTTTTCTTAAGTTACTCCATTTTCAGGCCCATGTCCGTCATATCATATAGTTGCCCAAATTTGTCTGTTATATTTGGCGTCACGTAGTTCGTGATTGAGACATGAAGTCAACAGCAAAATTTTACTAATTAGTCAATTGCCTTGTGTCGTTCGGTGACCTCGTGCAACCTCACCGCAAACACAGATGCTTAAGTGGCCATACTCATCTTGGCGATGAGCGCAAGACGGCGAACGAGGTGGAGTGCCCGTGTGACGTTTGTATGATGTTATACATGTTTCGGTGATTTTCTCGTAGTCGGCGGGTCGGAGGCTGCACGATTTCCAAGTGCATCAAGCATAGAAACAATGGAATTTGAGGTCTATGGAAGGAAATTTCTGTGATCTGCCGGGAATGATCATGCTATCTCAATAGCCATCTCAGTTCGAAACTCCTCAGACATAATCCTCCTGACCAAGTACCTTTGGCTATTATTGGAAATCAGTCAGAGATCACTTTGATTCAGTTTTGAAACAGCAGTAGGTTTTTTTCTCTTAAATGCGTCGAGTCCCCTTCATGCACGATGCCAAAATTTGGAAGTCAAGCAAACCGGAAGATGAATGTTAGCGACCATCTTTAGATATGGCATATGCTGCAATGCGTGGTTGGCAGGTGGTGTAGTCGGGCAAAAATAACGTGATAACGGATAATTTTAGATGTCGAAATGCTGCATTCGATTTTCTGCAACGGCGGCGGCGGTTAACATCTCACCACACGACGGCCCTCTAGATGATTGTTATATTAGTAGGGATACGTCCTGTTATATTACTTATTTATTATTATTTATATTATATTATTATTTATTATTAGTATCTACCAGAGCTGCAAATGACATTTTCAGGATTTTCTTCGTAATCCAGTGTCCATTTTTAGCAACTTGTTGACGTCCTGCGCCGCGCTCGATCCTTGGTAGTTTCAAATAGCTGTTTTTATTCGTAATGCAAACTGTTTTTCATATGTTTTTACATAATATTTTGCATGCCGTTTGCTGGCCTTCTATTATTGGACAGCTTGTTTAGCTGACGTTTTGTTCTAGAGTGCCTTTGATTGGCCCAGAACCACATGTCGTGTGTGGCATGGATTTGGCGTTAAGTTGACGGATGTCCCTGTTGTGATCGGCTCGCGGCGTCCGTTGGCATCTCCGTTTGACCAAGTTATGTCGTTGAAGAGGCGGCGCTGTCCTCGTTCATTCGGCCTCGGGGATGGCACTTCTCTCCGAGGTCCTGGGCTCAGCATCTGCTGCGGTGTTGATCAGCATAGCGATAAAGTGCTGATGCGTCAAACACCTCGTGCGGTGTCAGACGCGCCTTCACGGTGTCGAACGTTGCCCTCACGGTGTCAAGCGCGCCCTCACAGTGTCAGACGTCGCCCACATGGTGTCAGGCGTCGCCCTCACGGGGCCAGGCGTTGCTTTATCAGTGTTGGTCGTCGCCCTTACGGTGTCAGGCGTCGCTTTCTCGGTGTCGGGTGTCGCCCTCACAGTGCCAGGCGTCGCCCTCACGGGGTCAGGAGTCGCTTTCTCAGTGTCGGTCGTCGCCCTCACGGTGGCAGGCGCTGCCGTCACGGTGTCAGGTGTCGCTTTCTCTGTGTCAGGTGTCGCCCCCACGGGGTCAGGCCTCGCTTTCTCAGTGTCGGGTATCGCCTTCTCAGTGTCAGGCGTCGCCCGTTCGGTGTCAGGCTTTGCTCTGCAGGTCTCGCCGTGGCTGAGAGACACCTCCTTCGCTGGCCGCTCCTGAGCCGCGGCTGCCAGCGCCGCCGCCTCCTCAGCGCGCCACTTGGTGCTGAAGTGTTTGAACTGCACCTGCTCCAGAGTTAGCCCCCGCGTCTCGGGCAGCAGGCAGCGGGCAAACACCACCTGCAGCACGTTCACGCCGGCCAGGGCGGCGAACAGGCCCGACAAACCCAGCGCCTCGCGCAGCACCGGGAACAGGTGGATGAAGGCCATGGTACATGCGCCTAATTCTAGGGAGATGACGCAGCCGACCATCTGTCGCACGGACACCGGGAGGGTTTCTCCCATATACAGATGCGAAAGCTGGGAGATGCCGCCAAGGCTCGCGGCGTTGGCGACGATGATGCCGACCATCACGAGCCAGGTGTGGCCGCCCAGCGCTGCCTGAGGAGGAGGAACATCAGTCATTGGTACACGACTTGTGATGGATCACAGCAAGCTTCATTTGGTACCTAGCGTCACGGAGCGTCAGTAGTGCAGCGTCATCACGAGCGTCACCGGTGGAAACTGAAGCATCACCGACATCGTCTGGGCGGCCGAATCATAGCCAGCAACACCCGTTAGAGCAGGATGAAGTGTGGCATGAGAAAACGCGATCATAAGCGGCGTCGCATGGGTCGGCGCCATCAGTGTCGCTGTCGGGGAGTAATGTCGTCACCGGCATGCCTGAGAGTGCAGCGGGATTATCACCATTCTCGCCGTGGGAGAAGGAGCACCATCGCCATTCGCTAGGAGCGGAGGATCGAGAACAGGATTTCCTGGGAGATCAGGATCAGCACCAACGGCACGGTAGATGACAGGATGGTCACCAGAGGTGGATATTTCTATTAGAGCCCTTTCCGCCTGTAATGACCATTTCGGGCGAGTTGGTGGATAACGGTGTGGCAGCGCTAAACGCACCTAACCTTCGAGACTAAGCCTGCACAGAGACCCCTTTGCGGGGTGAGCGGCTGGCGCTCGCAGTCTGACCTTCATGGCGCAGGTCAGGCTCGGGGCCCCGCCAGGGCGCCTGTCAGCCCACCCGTGGCTGGTGCATGCAGCCTGTTGCGGTCAAGCGGAGTGTCACGAGCATGCAGGACACAGCAATGAGGATACAGGGCGGATCGGTCGCCAGGATAGTGTCATGCCGGGCTTTCGTCACATCCACCTGTCGCTGTTCTCTTTTAGGAGGGCAGGGCTGCCAGGATGATTCGGATCGTCGGATTTCATCAGAACAGAAGACTTTCTGTTTTCGTCGCTAGTCTTGGCGATCTTGTACACGGACGCAAGCACGGATACACTCACTGACGCACCCTTGCATGTATACGTGCACATCCTGCACACACACATGCACCTGCAGACGCACACCCACCCGCACGCACGCACGCACGCTCACACACGCACACACAATTATGGACGCCCTATGCCCGTTTGGTCGGCGCGCGCCAAAACCCAATTTATCATCATCAGCACGCACAGCCCGCCTGTTACGTTCACGTGAGGACGTGCCTCGAAATGGAAATGGGCTGCCGCGGTCAGCTGCCCGAGGCCGGTCAGCACAGCCGAGCCGATGAGCACGGTGCGCCGTCCCCACCAGTGCAGCAGGAAGCCCGACACGCCGATGGCTGCCATCTGAAAGGGAAGAGCGGCGTCAGTCGACGCAGCAGGGCCAGTAGCCGCTGTCACGGGCGTTTCCTCTTGACATCCTAAAAAGCTTGTTTGGAATCTATTGAAAGCTACCAGTTTGTGGACATTCTTTAGCAATGTGCACAGTTTGAGGAAGGTCCGCAGAACTCTTCGTAGCTTATAGGTCAGTCCAAGTCGGCTGTTACATGCAAAAACATAGCGGGTGACCCCGAACAACGTCCCCATTTCTAGCGGTGAATATGCATGAGCACAGTAGTATTGTTTGCACTCGGTGCATTGTGATGTACAAAGATATCACGTGAGTTTTCTTAAAAATATATTTTTTTAGTTTTAAAAAGCTTAACATTTTAGCCCTACCATAAATAATAAGGCTGAAATGTTGCTCCTACGTGAGTGTTTCTGTTTTATAGTCCATTCAGCTGTAGTTATCGTCTGCGGAGCCGAGCAAAGATGGCTTTCGCGGTGGAAATACGTCACCCTTTTCAGGCCTGCTTTGAGGAAAAAGCCCGGCGAGGAGCTCGTTGTGACCGAGTTTCGTAGGTTGAGAGAGAGACTACACAGCCATGGACTGCTTTGTATTGAAACATGATGACACCTGTTCCTGGGTGAAAAGGCCAGGGTGTATATATTCGATAACAAGCCTATTGATGGCCTTTACTCAAGAAAACCAGCCCGAAACTTAGGCATATATGTATGTATGTATGTATGTGTGTATGCATATATAAGAATGATTTCACGTACGTATATATAACTTAACTTATGTTTGGTGCTGTACATCGTAACCGAAAGTACTGGTCAAAGCGCTATTCCAGAAGGTTTCCTACTTTTGATGAGCTGAAGGGGGCCATCCTAAAGGCACGGGAGGTGTTGCTAAGCACAAAAGTAGCAGTATCCGCCAGGAGAACAAGCTGCTAAATGCTGTCAAGAACAGTTATGTTGTGTTGCTCCACGACCTTGTTATCATATATCGTTTACAGTTAGACAATCCGCTCACTTCACTCTGCATGATCCCCTAACCCATTAAACTCATCGGCACATAGCTTACTGAATGGCAGGTTCTGAACGGCGTTATAATGGCGTCATGAATGCTAAGGTGACTATGAAATACTCTCCCCGATAAACCTTTCACCATTTTGGCGGGCGTGTAGCTCGGTAACTAGCGTGTCTGATGTCTTAAAAAGGCAGCATTGTGAACAACACCAAAAGGTCTTCAAGAGGGATATTTCAGTTTAAAACCGCACGTAAATGTGGAACACTGCTTCAACGGGCTCTGCTTCACGGTCAACATCCGAAGGCACACGTCCAAGGTTGTAACACGCGCGTTAACTCGCGTGCACATGATGTTGCCACAGTTCGGATGTCTTACCTGTAGCACGGCGAGCAGTTGCACGCATTGACTCGGGGACAAGGAGGTCGCAGCCGTTTGAAAGACGGAGAGCGCGTACTGGTTGAGCACTACACCGCCGCAGAAATTCGCGAAGCAGAACTGAACGAACATGAGCAGGCACGGCTTGGCGACGTCCCAGTCGGTGAAGATTAGGTGGACCTGAGCAAAGGCCAGACCTGCTTAGCATTGCGCGACTGGTCGGAAACATGTGCGAAATGGTCTGGCATGACGTCAAATTATTAGACGTGATATTTTGGTACTAATGGTGTATGTTTTTGTACCTAATGCGATTGTCCAAACTCGTTGAGTTACGTATATAAAATGGCATTCATGATTGTGCACAACAGTGTGGTGTTGTATTGGTCGCGCCATTCTGAACTGTTTCACTTACTTCCTGCTGTACTGTGTCAAACCTCGTGGAAAAAGGTCAATATTCAGACTGTCTTTGACGCGCATCTTTCAATCCACATCATCTTACACTTTTCAGATTGCCTTCTTGTTATGAATCACTGCTCCATCTGGTCACATATTCCGGGGACCCACCTGCTGCAGAATGCTGATGTTGGGTCTGCCCCTAAGAGACAGCTGGATGTCCTTAACCTCCTGTGCGACGTCTGCCTTCTTGCCCTGGTAGAAGAGGATTGCCTTGTTGACCATGCCGGTGTTGGCGCCGCGATGCATCAGCCATCTGTCGGTGACAAGCTGAATTAGTAAACGTTATGCCTACACTTGCCTGCCGCGTGCCGGCGAGCGGCGTCGACATTCGGACAAAAGCAAAGTCAAGCAGTCAAACCCCAAGAAATGATGGAGATGTTGTCATTGGGGCTCTGCGATGCTTTCAGCTGCTGATGTTATATGGCGTCGCCTACCTCTCACCCTGGCAGGAAGCGGGAACCCGTGGGGAATCGAACCCCGTACCTCTGGTTTCCCAGACGCGCAGTGGTTAACGGGGGCGCGTCGACTGCTACACTATCGGCAACATTATGATGGGGATGGAACCTTTGTGCTGTCATCATATGTCATTCATGTCATTCCCAGGGTGCACAAGACAGCGTAAATATGAGTGTGTACCTGGGCGAACTGGGCAGCAGAATCGTTCCGACGATCTGTGCTACAGACGGCACGCAGCCGCACAGTAGAGATGCGTATCGCCACGGTATGACGGCGCCGATGGAGAAGTTAGCCAGAAGACTGAACGCAATGGCCACGCCTGGTAGATAGCAGAGCGTAGAGCGGTACCGGTTGGTTGTCACCTGAGAAGGGATTGGTTGTCATCAGGCACGGGCAGACTGAAACGAGTGCGTACAGGGGATGCTTAACCTACGTGTAATCATAATTTTCTAAATGGCATTTTACTAAACATGGCGTAGTCAACACCCGAACACCATTTTATCCGACGTAGGTTGTGATGTCACAATGAACAACAATGCCAACCATCGGCCTTCAAGTCGTCTCAGTAGGTTTTCAAAGAAAATGCTATAGATGCGCGCTCCTGCGTCGCTGGCTCGTGTGGCTTATGGACCTGCCGCAGGAGGGTGATAGCTTCATCCACCATTTGGCCCGCAACCCGGCGGGTCACCTTGCGGACTATCGTAGTTTTTCGGGTCCTTAGTTGTGCGAGGTTTGTTGGGGGACAATGTGTTTCCGTGTTAGGTAAGGCAAGCTTATTTTAGTTCGGTTTTCCAGAATAATTCCTTGCTGATCCCGTCTCCCTCTCACAATCCGCGGAAGTCGCCTGCTTCTCCAATTAGTTAAGATGTTGACGAGGGCAGAGCGGCGACGGCGACGAAGTACGGGGATAAAACGGCTTTGGGTTAGCCATGCGCACCCCATCTCTGCCCCACCCATGGATGTTACCACCCATGGGGGCAGTATGGTCAAACATTTGGTCACCCTGGGCTGGCTTCACGTTTTGGCTGTATGAAATGGTTCCAGGAATGGATTAAACACCATAAGTGTTTAAGGCGTGATCATGTAAATACTCGCACTCCAGCCTCGTGCGCACCCCAACGTGCCCTTCCCTAACCCCACCTCGTTTCCTACCTTGAACACTACACCCACCACTAGCCCACGTTCACCTCGCTCACACTCACACCCTGCACTCGCTGTCATCCCTTTCCCCCTCCCCCACGCGTTTCCCTATGTGTTTGTGTCGGGTCGGCAAGCGGTTGACAGCCTGTGGACTTAGCACCGGGAATGGTGATTTTTGGGCGTCTCAGCTGTGAGGCAGAGGTGGCTGTGCATACTCTGCTTGCTCGCTGCGGATGGCGTCCATATCCTGCCCGTTCACCGCGGATGGCACACAATCGCCCGGCCCTACCTCTGCGATGCAGAGCCGTCCCGTGAGGCCTCTCAGGTCTGCGTACCTCTGCGATGTAGAACCTTCCCGTGAGGCCTCTCAGGTCCGCCTACCTCTGCGATATGGAGCCGTCCCGTGAGGCCTCTCAGGTCCGCCTACCTCTGCGATATAGAGCCGTCCCGTGAGGCCTCTCAGGTCCGCCTACCTCTGCGATATAGAGCCGTCCCGTGAGGCCTCTCAGGTCTGCGTACCTCTGCGATGTAGAACCTTCCCGTGAGGCCTCTCAGGTCCGCCTACCTCGGCGACGTAGAGCCGTCCCGTGAGGCCTCTCAGGTCCGCCTACCTCTGCGATATAGAGCCGTCCCGTGAGGCCTCTCAGGTCCGGCTACCTCGGCGACGTAGAGCCGTCCCGTGAGGCCTCTCAGGTCCGCCTACCTCGGCGGTATAGAGCCGTCCCGTGAGGCCTCTCAGGTCTGCGTACCTCTGCGATGTAGAACCTTCCCGTGAGGCCTCTCAGGTCCGCCTACCTCGGCGACGTAGAGCCGTCCCGTGAGGCCTCTCAGGTCCGCCTACCTCTGCGATATAGAGCCGTCCCGTGAGGCCTCTCAGGTCCGCCTACCTCTGCGACGTAGAGCCCTCCCGTGAGGCCTCTCAGGTCCGCCTACCTCTGCGACGTAGAGCCCTCCCGTGAGGCCTCTCAGGTCCGCCTACCTCAGCGATGTAGAGTCGTCCCGTGAGGCCACTGAAGCCGACGATCGTGCCAGCCATCATGGCGCCGGCCACCACCATGTTCCGCTCTCCGAACGCCATCAGCGGCCAGGCCAGCAGGTTGAACGGCACGCTCATCTGGATCACGCGCAGCACGCCTAGTCGGTCTGTTAGCGAAGCGGAGGCTACGCATGCTTCGGGACGAAGAGGGGGGGGGGGGGAGGCAGTAGTGGTGTTAATTGGATGGACGAACACTTGCCATCCATGCCTTAGCGCAGTTTTGTGAAATTGCATTTGTGTGTGCGAGTGGATTTTCGCTGGTAGCTGGGCACGTGCTGGTGTGCACAAAATTACAACACGTGCAGTACCTTGAATTTTTCTGCTACGCAGCCAAGCTGGCGCTTTTGCAAACGTTCACACTGATGCTCCATAAACCCGTAGCCTCTTTGGCGAGGTTCACCCCTGTATGCCTACCTGGGCTGCTTTTGATGCGTGTTGGAATGGGTACTGGCCTGGATGTCTGATAATGCCGCCATGTGGAACCCGAGCCAGTAACCAAAAGGTATTCGCGTGTATTGGCTGAGGTGCATGAGATGAAGGTAGTGTGTCTGGTCTTTCCTGCTGCTGCTGTAATAGCCCACTGCAACCTGCTGTAATAAGCAGCTACCTAAGCAATGAAATTGCATTGGGATGCGGGTAGCTTATGATAAATTTTTGGGTTTCTGTACCAGTGCTCAGTTTTTGTGCCAATTCGATTCGCAATTTATTGTCATGAGGATGTATCAGCATAACCGAACGGATCATTCTGTCAGTAACTGCAGAAAATGTTTCATAAATGTGTGTGTTCTCATGCACATCTCTCAAACGCCAACAGTGAAGCGCGCGATGCCTGGTGGACGCCATTTGGGCGATTCAGGCCGGCGAATCTATTCTGAACCTCTGGCACAAAACAGGGATGTCTGATTTCTTCCGGGCAATCGGTCTGGGTCATAAATGTTCCCTTGCTCAGCGTGCTGTCCAGGTTAAAATTGCGTCTTCCTACCGCAACATCGGTCCAGATCAATGATGGCGAATCCCTTTCGAAGATCCGACTCAGGTTTCACAAGACGACACTATGGGACATCGAGGCGAGGTGAGGGTCCGCGGCTACTGATGGGCCTTCAACCCTGGTCAGAGATGGCGGCTGCCTACCAAACATTCTGCCCAGATTAAAGATGGCTGCCACCATGGTGGCGTCGCGCAGCGTCAGCTGAGCGGTGGCGTCAGCTGACTGTGACTCGGCCAGCAAGTGGGCGGCGAAGCTGAGCGTGGTGCCGTAAATGGTGGGCGTCATGGACATGACGACCGCCGCCGCCACCTGAGCAACAAACACAGCGACCATATCGTCACGAACATGTTGTTAGTTACCCAGTGTATGACTTTGACGAGAGAAATTGACGTGTGTTTCAGTTTTGGCTTGGACATGGCGTGTTTTCTTGGCGCGGGTGTTTCGTCGCTCTCCCAATGTTTCTGAGTTCTAACATGTGCCCTGGGATGTTGCGTGCGTGGTTTGTCCAATGTTGTTGCGATATCTTTCATTTTACACGTCAGGTTTTTCGAATTTGTCCAATTT